GGTCTGCCAGCCTCTGCTTGAATGCTTCCAGGGATGGCGTGCTCACCACCTCAGGAAGCAGCCGGTCCACTTCGAGTGACACCTGTGACCCAATGCCTTTTATCATAAATTCTCTTCCCATGTTTACTTCCCCAGCTACATTTAAAGCTCTGTGGAGACAAAACTCTGGGCTGAGGTCATCTTTTTAAAAAGTCTCGCATAAATCTTTTAAGTAGAATGTACTTAATACATTCTTGCTGAGTGAGATCTTATCTAGGTTGAAGAATACAGGGGAAAAAAAGAGTATGATTTCCAATTTTAATTCCAGGACTAGGATCCCTGGGGAGGAAGGGGCTGGAATTCCTGCGGGTGAAGGGGGTCGGAGTGAGCAGGGTGATGACATTGGGCTTCCACTCTGTTCGTCAGGCCCCTTTTGAACATTCTCTCTCGAATCCTCACAATTCTGTGCAAAAGGTGCTATCACTACCTCTATTTTACAGAGAAGGAAACTGGGGCACAGAGAGGTTAAGGAACATGCCCATGGTGACACAGCCTGCCGGCAGTACTGCTGAGATTTAAACCCAGGTCCACGTGATTTTGGAGCCTGCGTGTTGTTTCCCTGGGTGTGCAAGACTCCTTCTCCCCAGGAAGCCGGGACCTAGCCAGTCCCTCCTCCAAGGAAAACATGGATGGCATAAAAGATTTCTGTTGTGTCTGAAACAAAAAAACATGGTAAATTTTAAAAGACTGACTAATGGACAACTCCCCTTCCCCCAAGGGGCGGGACCTCATGAGAAGAAGCAGACTGCATCCTAGCCGGTGCGGAGACGCTGAGCTCCTGGGAGTAGGGTCTAAGTCAGGGTCAGGTCTGTATCCTGGGTATTGAAAACACAGCGAGGCACATAGTTTGGAATCATCCAGATAATGAGTGAATTAGGGAAGGAGGAGCTCAGGAGAAGACAGGAAGATGAGGAACTGGGCTAGAAGGTTCTAGCCCAGAAAGGAGTGGGGGCAGTGCTGACTGCTCGCAGGAGGGCAGAGTGATTCTAGCTTCCATGCTCTGGCTGGGCATCCCCTGCCACAGCACCCCGCGCCTGTGTGGACATCAAAGGAAGGGGACGAGGGTGCAGGAGCAAGGGTGGGCACTTGACACCGGACAGCATCTCAGGCATTTGAGGCTCGGGCGACAGGAACGGCTGCAGGACCTTCTTCCTTAGGGAAGAGGTCTGGTCATATTATTGACCTCTGTGTTGAAATGTTACTCAGGGCCACCCACAGAGCAGTACCTAGCACCCCAAAGAGGAAGGAGGGAGAGAACAGAGAAGGGAAGACGAAGGGAGGAAGGGAGAGGAGGAAACGGTGGTGGGCGTGGAACAGAGTGGCTGAGTGGCGTCTGCAGTCCCATCAGAGCTGCCCTCAGCCCCGTCCGTCCCGTCCAAGGAGAGTTGGCACATGGTCACCTGGAGCTGGGCACTGACCATCAGAAATGGCACCAGCCACAGCGGCTGGAGCAGGAACCGGCGCCCCCTGTTGTCACTGGCAGGTGGTGGGAGGTCCAGAGGGTGCGGAGGAGGGGCTGGATGATGGCAGGGGCACTTGGTATGGGGGGGGACAGTGACTTTGGCCAATCCTCTGGTGCCTGCTGGCTGCCTGTCAGCCATGCTTGTAGGTGACCGGAGGGCAAGGATGTTACTTCCAGTCCCCAGAAATCCAGACGCCTGTCCTCCATGAACACCAGAGAGGCGGAGCCTCCCGCGCCGGCACCCGTGCCTGCCCGGGAGGCTGCTGGTGTGGCGGGGAGCACGGTGCCGCTCAGGTGGGCAGACCTGGGTTCGGATTCTGCAATCCGCCTTACCCTCTGTGACCAGGCCAGCCACCGAATCCCAGAGCCTCTGCTGCCTCCCCTGGAAATGGGATGACAGCCCTGGCTCAGATGACAGCCCCTTTGTCTCATAGTCCCCTGTCTTGCAGCCGCACAGGAAAGCACGTGCCCCCCCACCGCTTAGAAGGGACCGTTCCCTCCCGTCCCAGCACCCTCCTCCTGGGACCTGGCATCTCCTGTTTGCCCTGAGCCTCTGAAAACAGAGGTCAATGGCTTCCCATCTCAGAACAAAATTCAGAACCCTTCCCAGGGCCCCCAAGACCCACGTGAGTGAGCGGTTCTCAACCCCGGCTACACATTATGGTCGTCTGGGGAGTTTTAAAAAACTACTGATGCCGGGTTCCACCACTAGAAAATCCGATTGAATCGATCTGAGCTGCAGCCAGGCAGCGGTGCGTCCAAAATGCTCCCTGGGTGGCTCTGATGGGCAGAGCCACTGCCCCACGTGACCCGGCCCTCCTGCCGCCCTGCCCCGCTCACTCCGCTCCAGCCTCCCAGCCTCTAGAATGTCCTCAAGCACGTTCCCTTCAGGGCCTTTGCTGGAATACTCGGTCCCTGGCTGTCCACCTGGCTGTCCCTTACATGTCATAGCTCACCCCAGTCTTATCAGAGAGGTCCCTGATCATGCTGCTGTGGTTGCCCCAACCCTGCACCATCACATCTTCCCACCCTGCTTTATTTAGCTTCTTCATACTACGACCCCCTTGATGTGCCTTGGGTTCGTTTGGGTAACGTCTTTCCTCCCCACTGGAACGTAAGCCAGTCGGGGCTCAGCCGTCCTGTTCGGCGCTGTATCCTCAGTGCCTGGCACAGTGCCGGGCACACAGTGGGTGCCTGATAAAAATCTGCTGCAGGCAAGGCCATCTCTGTGGGCAGGTCTGAGCTTCTGGAAGGCAGGGGGGGAGTGTCATGCATCTTGGTGCCCTAGTGTCCAGCACAGGGCCAGGCATGGAGGCTGTGACCAATTCATGGTCCTGATGATTTGCTCTGGAGACAGAGGGGCTTGAGGGGTTGCTGTGGTGTGTCACGACTGGAAGCGAGGGTCCAAGCAGAGACGAAGGTGGGGACATGGGCAAAAGAGGCCAGGCTGCTTCATGGAGGGAGGAAAGAGGCAGGTCGGCCTCAGTGTCTTGACACTTGCTGGCCCAGGGAGCCTAGCAGTGCACAGGAGTGGTGGCCCCGACCACTGGACCCAGACGGTAGGGGCAGGGTGACTGGGAGCCCACAGGAAGGGTGGGAAGAGCCAGACTAAGGTCCTGCCAGGGTGGGAGCTGATGTGGGCAGCACCAAGCATGGGAGCGGGTGTCAGCCTCACCCTGCAGAGGTCATCAAATAGGACTTTTGTCAGCAGCTGCAGGGCTCCAGTAAACTACAAATGCCCCTGCCCAAGTGGCCCGGGGAAGGGGAAGTGCAGTCAGGGCCCTGGGCTTTCCTGACCCATCCCAGGGGCAGACAGACAGCAAAAAGGGGACATGACTTGCTAAGGGGAGCGTGCAGCCAGGGATTCCAGCAGGACAGGACAGGCTCCTGTTCGTGCGAGCCACCGGAGAAAGGGAACAGTCGCAGGAGTGCCCAGGAAACCGAGGGCTTCAGGACACGGGGCTGCGTTGTGGCTTAGCATGGTCCCTTGGGAGCCCAGCAGCAGCTCCTACCCAGTGGCTCAGCCCCCGTTCACTCCCGAATCCCCATTTTCCCATCAAAAGCCCTTGAGCACCAACTATCTACAAGGTCTGGTGTGAGGCTGTCTAGCTGAGTCCCCCCACCCAGCCTGGCCTGTACCCCAGGCCCTGACAGATTTCTAGGGCAGAAGCTCCGAGCGCCCAAGGCCTCCACATGGACCTCAGGAGCCCTAGATGCCTCCACAGCAGGACCACAGCTGCGGCAGCAAGGACAGCTGCCCCCAGGAAGACTCTTCCAGATGCAGGAGCCTCCATGGGCCAGCTCCGCCTGTGACTCAGGCCTCACAGGCGCTCCTGCAAAGCAGCATCTGCCCAGGTCCTTCCTTGTTTTCCTCTCTGTGCTGTCTACACCACCACCACCCCCACTTCTACCGCTTCTTGAAGGCTGGGGGGCAACAGACCTGGGATTCTGATTTGCTGTGTGACCTCAGGCAAGTCTGTTAACCCCTGGGAGCCTCCCCGTGGAGAGGGGAGGAAGTGGGAAGAAAGGAGGTAGTCAGGAGGCTTCAGTGACACGACCCCCTGGGCACCGGGCCTGGGACCCAGCAGGGAGCTTGGTAAACGAGGTGCCCTCTCCTTTCTGATTCCAGTTCCCACCACGTGTTTCCAGTCCCCTCACCAAGCGCTGGTCGTTCGCCCCAGTTATGGTCCTACAGTTTGCTGACTGGCTGCCTACAAGAGGGGCGAGGGGGTCTAGTCCAGCGGAATCAGTGCTAGGCTGAGAATCGAGCCCTGGCCCACCTCTGCTTCCGTGGTCTTGGGAGATATCATCAACCTCCCGACCTTGGCTTCCTCCTCCGGAAAGCAGCTACCCCTCGAGTATGCCAGCACACGCTGCAAAGCCGCTGAGGCCAGGCATGCGGCCGGCCCCTGGACAGGTAAGGTCAGAGGCGTGGCTCAGGGCTGGCGTTCTCAGAGTGGCTGGGGAGAACAAACCCGACCACTGAATCGGCAACAGAGCCGCATTCTGAGAACTGTGGGAGCTGCGACAGGCCCAGGCCCAAGGGAAGAGGCGGTCTGGGCAGCGGCAGGAGGTGATTCAAGGTCTGAAGCAATTACCGCAGGGCCTGAATTACAGCGAGGTCTGCACCCTGCTCTGCTGCCCTGGCTTTGGCTGTCCGCCACGTCAACCCTATTTCGATCCTCCCCCGCCGCCCCCAGAAGTCAGGGAGCCATCTGGTGCTGGGAACACAGGGGTCAGTCGCCGCAGCCGGACCCCAGGCCCCTGCCCAGGACTCCCCCTCCACTCTCCTGGCCATAGGCACCAACTTGGGCCAAGGCCAGGCCACAGATGAGACTCCGGGCCTGGGTCTCCTCCGCCCCCCCACAACCACCATCAGTGCTGCTCCCCCAGGGGTGACTTCTGGCCCTGAGCGCAGCAGCCTCCAGAATGCAGCAGCCCAGGGCGGGTTCAGAGACACACGCGGCGCAAACTCTCTTCACTTTATATATGTACACACATATAAGCAGCCCCGCCACGCTCATTAGGCCTGGAGTGGGGCCTTCGTTCTCCATCTTTGGCATCAATCTGTCAAAATCAGCTTTTCTGCATGAGACTGCTCAGTCCTTTCTGTACAACATGAATTAAATATATTATCTGTCTTCGCGCTGAGTCACAGGACATTCACAGTATAGGGGGGAGGAGGGAAGGGCTGGGGGAGCCCCAGGCTCTTCGGGGCCACTCCCCAGGCTGAGGAGTTGGGCTGGGCCTGGCCTCCCCTTGGCCTTGGCCATTCGAGGTCACCAAGTGTGCAGGAGACCTTGGGAACACAGAGGGGAGCCTTCTTCACGGGTCCCTCAGGCTCCCAGCTCTGGGGGTGGGGCTCTCAGGAACAAAGCCTGCTGCTGTCTCACCTTCCTCTACCTCAGACTGCGGTGTTTACACCCTTCCCTGTAGTGACCAACCTCTGGGGAGGAGGGGCAGGGGCAGGCTGGTACCAGGATCAGGTGAACAGACCCAAAGGGCTGGGAAGGAGGGGACAGGGGAGGCTGTGCCTGCCCCAGGGAGCTGAGGTTGCCCTGGCACCAGCGTCACGGTGACCCGCATGTCGTATCCAGAGCTGTCCCTAGGACCCTGCCCCAGGGCTGGCTAATCAGCGCTCAGGGATGATTAGATAAGCAGGAGCCACTCTCAGGAGGGGTGGACAGGCAGGTGCTGGGTCAGAGCTCCAAGGGCAGTGAGCGCTCTACCACCTGCCAATTTAAGGCAACTCCATCCAGACTGGGGACACGGGCTGGGGCTGGCTGAGACACAGCTGGGCATCTGCAGCATGCCAGCGCCGCTCAGCCTCCGCTCGAGCCAGACGGCGCACAGGGCCTCTGGCGTGGAGGGGACAGAGCAGGCTAGGGCTGACGGAAAGAGGAGGCGGGCTGCTATTCCTTCTTTGCTCTGGGGACACCTGCCCCTCAGGTGGGGGTGCGCTTTGTCACACAGGTGGGCATTAGGATTAGGGGATCCCAGACAAAGTGCCACGTCCCTCCCTGCTCTCAAAGGGGAAGTGCGGGCTCCAAGGGGCCAAAGGGGGAGGGTCTGCCAGACTAGCGAGGCAGGCAGGCCCTGGGGGGAAGCGTGGTGGAGCCTGATTCAGGGCATGGCGCCCAGCCTGCCACCTGGATTTCCCTGTCCGTGTGCGTCCTGCGCTGGTGCCTGGGCACTTCGGGGTGGACGAGAGTCCAAGGTCCCTCCCTGCCCCCTCACCTTCTCCCAGGGAATGGCTCGTGCCCAGCCCAGTGACGGAGGGGTCGGAGTCCAGGTGCAGGCCGCGGGGAGGCATGTGGGAAGCAGAGAGAAGAAACATCTGTGGCCAGCAGGGCTGCCCAGCAGTCTTCCGGGCTAGCAGTTAGCTCTGGTGCCTCAGTCCTCCGAGGGCCACACAGGCCCCATCCTACCCAAATTTGTGCTTGATGTGACCCCTTGTCCCTCAGGCTGCAGCAGGGTGGGCCCCGCTCAGAAGATGCTCTGCCGCCGGTTCTTCCCTCGTCCTGGAGAATGGAAGGGAGGAGGTGGGGCTGCAGGGAGGAGGCTGGGCCGAACGGTGTCCAAGATCAGCGGGGACAGTTCTCCCACACAGCCGCTCTGACAGAGCTGGCAAGGGCATGTGTTCAGGAGCCAGCAGCCCGGGGGTCAAATCCCATCTCTGCTGCCTACTAGCTGTGTTGACCGTGAGTCAACTCCCAGAGCCTCAGTTTCACTGACTGCGAAATGGAGAACATTCATAGTACCACCCTCAAGGGGTGTTTTGAGGATTAAAGGAGATGAAGCATGGGAAGCATTTGTTACATCCAAGGCCATGAGCTGTTCCACGGACAAAGTACCATTCTCCCGGGATGCAGACTGGGCAGCTCAGCGTTTGCAGAGAGCATGCATCTTTGCCGGGCCAATGCCAAATGTCCTGTTCTGTCTAGGGTGGGAGTTAAGGAGGGAGGGACTGGGCAAGGAGGCGGCCAGAGCAGGAGAAACTAACCCCTTCCCTGGCCCCCATGGGCCCCCGAAGGGAAGCCAGTGTCAGGGGGAGATGGATGAGGGACCCTGGGAGTCCCCACTGGGGAGGAATAGCTTGCCCTGGCTCCTCTAACGAGGGGAGGGAGCCGAGGAGCACAAGCCCCTACCTGGCTGCTGGAAGGCCAAGCCGCGGTAGCCTGGGTCCTTCTGGAGCTGGATCTCCTTCAGGGAGAAGATGGAGGCAGCTGGGGTGAGAGAACAGGCAGGGAGAGGGCTGTGTGGAGCTGGGCCTGCTCCTGGAGCAGGCTGCCCCCACGCCCACTGCGTGCACAGCTGGAGGCCCTTCAGGCAGCAGTGGCCCAGGAGGACCTACCTGGGCACTTCTGGCAGCATTTCTGCAGAGTCTGCCCCCTTAATTCTCAATAAGAACTCAAGGAGGGGAAGCCTGTGCCCCAGGCTGCTCAGCTGGACCCAGGGCCTCTGGCCTCTTTGTTACAGCTCTTCTGCCCCCACCTGCCACCCCCATTACTTGGCTCTGGGGTGGCCCTGCCCACCCCCCCAAACACTCACTGTCTTCGAGCTGGTGCACACGCTCTCCCAAAGACCGGAAGTAGGGGTGATTCAGGGCAGCCTCCGCCGATACACGACTCTTGGATTCATACTGAAAGGCACAAGGTGGGCTATTGGGCTCTGGCTAGGGGCCAGGGATGCCTCCCGGACAGCGCAACTCCTGTGCTAGGTTAGACGGCCAAGGTGGGAGGGACCTGAGTCTAACAGGTACCAGCCCCCACCTCCAGCCCAACTTCAGGCAGTCTCAGGGTCCAGGCTCCCAAGTCTCCACCCACCAGGAAAAATCAGAAATCACTTCCTCTTGGGATGGAAATACAGATGCTGAGGCCACTATGTTCATAACATGAATATTGGTAATATTCATATATAATACCAATAACTACCCTTTTTGTGTGCATTTCAAGACAGACACCACAGTAAGTGTGTCTCATAATCTCAATTTATCCTCACGACCATCTTATATAATATGAATTATTAATGTCACTCTGCAGGACACTGAAGCATGGAAGAGTAACTAGCCCAAAGCTACACAGCTAGCAAGTGGGTATGAACTGGGGTTTGGGTCAAACTGCACGGACTCCCAAGGTTGCGTTCGGACAGCAGCACTCCTCTCGGGCCTCAAGAGGGGAGAGAGCTCAGGGCAGATGTTTCAAAGACTTGTGGGCATGCTGAAGTTGGGGCGCAGGGGCGGGGTGGGGTATTGGACCCCGCTGGGAGGACGCTCACCAGGAGGAGGCCGGTCAGGAGGCTGATGCCATCAGTATCCAACCTGCAAGAAGGAGGCGCTGACACGGGCTTTGCCTGATTGGGCGTGGGGAGGGAGGCCACCTCCAGCAGGGACAGCCCGACCCCGGCAGGAGCAGGAGCGGGGCTACCTGGGGACGTGGCTACCTGGGGGCGTGGCTGATGAGCGGCTGCGGGAGGTAGCGGGGGAAGTTGTAGGTCCGGAACTCAGACAGGGCTGTCACGCCGGGCCACGTCTCTTCTGTAGGGGTCCCTGGGGAGACGACAGGGGTGGGGAGGGCGTGGTGAGGGGCCAGGGCCAGGGCGACTTGGCGGGGGTACCATATAGGAAGTGGGAGCAAGAGCTGGCCCCGGCCGCAGGCGTCCCCGCCCTGCCGAGGATGGGCCTTGAGGCACGGCTGGACGGAGCTCTGGCGCCCCTGGCGGTGAGCGGGAGGGCGGCAGGGGACTGACCGAGGAGGCGGAAGATGAGGTGCAGCTCCTCCTTGACCGTGGAGCCGGGGAACAGGGGCCTCCCCGTGGCCATCTCGTAGTGGATGCAGCCCACGCCCCTGCAGGGAGCAAGGGGCAGGGGCGGCGTCAGGCAGAGGTGGCCGCCCTTCCTGGGGCTGCTCCACCAGGGTACCCCTGACGTCCTGCCACAGGTGGCTGGCGGGGTCGTGGCCCCGGGGTGGGCGTGTGGCCCAGGGCCGTGGAGGCTCCTAGAGCTGCCCCGCTCCCACTACAGCCCCTCTCTGGGGGCTTCCCTGGGCCCTGGGAAGACATGGCCTCTCCCCTTTCACAGTGTGCGGTCTGGGTCCGCATAGCCAGCACCCATGTGGCGATTCCTTCAGCAGGGCGGTCTCAAACTCTCCCCACGTGTGCCCCACTGGAAGAGAGAAGTACAGAGGTCCGTTCTCCTGGGGAGCATGGGGCGTAGACATAGCAGCCATTCACCAAAAACCCGTGCTTTGGCTTTAAATTTGGGCTGATTTTTTATTTTACACCAAATCATATACCTGTTAATTTTAACGTAAAAATAATGTTTCCCTTCCAAAATTTTCACTCGAACTGATGCTTGGGGAAGATTCATCATAGTCACTGTAGGGGTCCCCTGCACCCTCAGGGGCTCTGGTACCCACCCTGGGGTGGCTCCTGGGGGAGCATTTGAGAAGCACAGCCTTGGAGGGTCTGTTGAAGCTGGAGAAACCCCAATCCATTTCAGACTTAATTTTTTAACATGCAGTTCAGCAGGATGCCACGTGGCTTTTAGTCAAAGGAGGTTAGGTGGTTCCTCTCCGCGCCCTTGGAGGCAGCGAAAGAGTCTGGAAGTGTGGACAGGCCCCTCCTCCCCGCACTGGTCCAGTGCTCACTCACCACATGTCAATGGGGGTGGAGTACTCAGTGGATCCCAGCAGCACGTCGGGGGGCCTGTACCACAGGGTCACCACCTCATTGGAGTAGGTCTTTGTGGGCACTGACTTGGCCCGGGCCAGTCCTAGGGACAGATGTGTCACTGAACCTCTGCCCACAGGTGCTTTGGGGTTGACCGAGAAGCCCTCCCCCACTACACCCCAACAGCATCAGACCCCCACTCTAGCCCTGGCCTCACCAAAGTCGGCCAGCTTCAGCTCCCCCCGCTCATTGATGAGCAGGTTCTGGGGTTTCAGGTCCCGGTGCAGGATCTTGCGGCGGTGGCAGTAGGCGAGGCCCCGGAGCAGCTGGAACATGAAAATCTGGGGAGGGGGGAAGAGAACGGTGAAGTGGAAGGTGGCCTGAGCCTCTGCCCCAAGGCTGGGACGGAGAGGGGGCAGGGACCTGGGGGGTCAGCACAAGTCCCTGGCTCTCCCACCCAGCCAGCAGCCCCATCCTGGGCCCCGTCACATCAGGGAGTCCCATCCAGAGGGGAGGACAGCAGCATGTGGAGGAGCGAGCGTGCAGGAGGCATGGCAGGAAGCCTGCCTGCGCAGGGTACATGTGCTTGATTCTTTAACAAACGCCGGAAGAGGCCGCCCATCCCGCCGAGCTTGCCCGGAAGCTCCTGTCAATCTGGCAGCTCACGCTTCCATCTGACCGATGGGGAAACTGATGCTCAGAGTCGGGGAGGGGGTTTTATACCAACAGCGAGACAGTGGCAGAGAGTGTGTGTGTGTGTGTGTGTGTGTGTGTGTGTGTGTGTGTGCCCGGGCTCAGGCGTTCAGTGCAGGTCCTGGACTCACTAAATAGCAGGGCCTTTTCCCTCCATCCTACGCTGCAAAGTCTGAGCAAGCCCAGCAGTCGGGTGCTGGTGGTGAGAGTGGGTTCCCATGCTGGGCTTCAGGACAGGGGGCTGCCACAATGGCTGGGGATCCCTGGTGCCAAAGCCCTCACCTTGACATTGTGCATGCTCATGAGGTTTCCACAGTGGTCCAGGTACTGCTTCAGGTCACTGTCCTGGAACACAGAGCCTAGCTCAGTCCCATCCTGGTCTGACCTGTGGCCAGAAGCCCAGACACGGGCTGAGGAGGAAGCCCCTCCCTGGGTAGGGCCCAAGCCCACGGTCCCTGGCTCCGAGCTGCCCCTTAGCCTGAGCTCTTGGCCCATCCTGCATCCTGAGAACCTGATTCTAGAACAGGGCCTGGGCCACCCCCACCCCACCTCTCCCACTCCCTCAGCCGCCTACCCCCCGATCCTCCCATGCCCACCTCTCTCCCAAGGGAGCCCAACTTACCAGGTACTCAAACACCAGGGTGAGGGACCGATCTGTATGGATGAGGTCGTGCAGGGTCACGATATTGGCGTGCTTCAAGTTCTTCAGGAGAGACACTGTGGGGAGATGGCCCACCTGGGTCCCTGGGACCCCACATGCCCCTCGTACCCTTTCTTCTGGGGGTCACCACCAGGAGTGCCTGTTCCCGCAATGACACTCCACCCCAGGTTCCCCCTGGGGCCCAGGCCGATGAACCCCTCCTCCCGATGCCCCCGGGGGGACTGTGGGACCCAGGACGCTGTACCCTCTCGGATGGCAGTGCAGGGTGCCCCCTCCTCGTGCTCCAGCCGGATCTCCTTCAGGGCCACGAGGTTCTCCGTCAGTTTGCTGCGCCCTTTGAAGACTGTGGCATAGGTGCCCTGGGATGAAGAGCCCCATTGGCCCCGGGCACATTCAGGTCCTGCTGTCCTCTGTCCAACGCCTCCCTTGTGTGCCTCGATTTGGGCTATGACTTGGGCCTGAGTGCCCTTCCTCCCTTCACTGAAATGCTGGGTCTTCTCCAAAGCCCACTTCTCCCTGGGAAGTGTCCCGCACAACTCCCCAGTGAGAACTCACTGCCCCTCCACTCAGCCCAGCACACTAGGCGCCCCTCCGCTACAGCTCCAGTTCTGTTCTTCCTCATACTGCGCTGCGTTCCCATGCAGGCCCACTCTTTGGGCTTCTCCAGGGAGTTTCCTCTGCAAACCTTCGCCCAGCCCAGGCCTCTCACACAAAGCCAGGCACAGTGACGATGGAAATATCCTGGTGACACAGCACTTGCTACAACACGTGCCAGGCATGTCTACGTGCCGTACACACACGTGTTCTAGCAACCTATTCAACCCGCACAACAACGTGATGAGGTAGAACAATTACTATCCTCGTTTGACAAAAGAAGAAACTGAGGCACAGAGAAAGATCGTGTAACTCGCCGAAGGTCACGGAGCTAGTAAAGGGTGGCGTTGGGATTCAAACCCAGGCAGGAAGTACTTGTAGGAAAAAAAAAGACCGGATTCTGCCCAGGGCCCAGGGGCTACCCTATCCTCACCCCCTCACTTGGCATCTGGGTCTACCAGCACCTGCCAAGGCTGGGCAAGACCCTGCACCTCTCTCTATGGGGCAGAGTCCAGGAGAGGGCAGATTAGGGAGGGCCCACAGGCCCTGCCCCTCCTCTGAACCGTCCTGCACGGCTGCCCTCCGACCAAACCCAGCCTCTTACCTCCCCCAGTTTGTCCAGTTTCACGTACGTTTCCAGTTTCCCAAAGCCGATATCTGACTGAGAGGGAGAGACATAGGGTGCCGTGAGCTTGAAGGCCCACCAGCCCCCAGACACAACTCTCCCACCCCCAGCCTCGGGGGGGAAGGGAATGAGACCCCATCCTGGAAAGGGGTCCTTCCTCCTGTCCTTCCCTTTTATCCCTGTGACAAAAGAAAAAGCTCCTGGGCGTGTGTTTCTTCTTCCCACGACAGCCAAGGGTGTGCAGCTCGGAGCTGTGGCACCTGGGATTGCTGCACGCCTGGGTTCTACCCTGTGCGGCAGAACAATTACTATCTTTGTTTGACAAAGGAAGAAGCTGTCGTCTGCCTTACTCAGACTGCTGGCTCCTCCAGGGCAGGCGCCGTGTCTTTTTCTCCACTGTGTCCGGTTCAGAACCCACCTCCCTGACAGTCTCTCATGAGCACGCTTCTTCTAGCTCAGGCGCACCCAACCCTGAACAAGACAGATTCCTGGACGCCCCACCCACCCGCCTACCCGGAGAGCTGATTCTGTAGCTGTCTGGAGTGAGACCCAGAGTCTGTTCTGTAAGATGCTCCCAAGCACCTCTGACAGGTAGCTAGGACTGCAAAGCACACGCCAGCTGGCCTATTGATCTTATCCAGGTGGAGACCCTAGGTTAGCTCAGCTCCAGCCCAGGTGGGACCCATCTAGGGAATGGATGTTGATCTAGGAGGAGCTACTTGAATGCACTAGGGCCAGCAGGTGGCGCCAGAGGCCCAGGAATCCTCCTGGAAAGCCCTCCAGGCCTCAGCTGGGACAGGAAATGCCAGGACGGATTGGTCCATGCTGGGAAGGAGGCGTCCCACCGTGACAACCTCTGACCCTCTTGGGACTCACCAGGGAGGCGCGGCGGGACATGCGGCTGAGTGGCTTGGGGAGGTCTGGGCTCTCCAGCTGTAGCTTCTGCAAGAATTCCTGGGGCAGGCGGATATCCATGGGCAGAGAGAGCCTCTTGCTGATGTCCTGTGGTGACCGAGATAAGATGGGGACACCGTTGTTGGCTCCAGGGTAGCTGGGGCTGTGGGACGCTTGCCTCTGGACCTAGCTTTCCCTGTAGAACAACCACGGCAGGGCCAACCACAGGCTGTGGGTCAAGGTTGTGCTCAGAGACATATACATGAAAGCCTGGGGTGGCTGTGTGACCTTAGGAGGTTCCTTCCCCTCTCTGGGCCACAGTGTCTCCATCTGTACAACATATATCTCATGCCTTTACAGACACTGTGATTCTATAAGCGTATTTTTCATACACTTGCACACATCTCTGTGGATCATAGACTATAGTCAGGTTGTTTAGCCTTTGCTATGTTCCAGGAATGCTCTAAGCACTTGGCATAAACTAACTCATTTAATCCTACCAATGACTGTTTTATGTTTTTTATTTTTATTTTATTTGAGACAGAGTCTTGCTCCGTTGCCCGGGCTAGGGTGCCGTGGCGTCAGCCTGGCTCACAGCAACCTCAAATGCCTGGGCTCAAGCGATCCTCCTGCCTCAGCCTCCCGAGGAGCTGGAACTATAGGTATGCACCACCATGCCCAGCTAATTTTTTCTATTTTTAGTTGTCCAGCTAATTTCTTTCTATTTTTAGTAGAGACGGGGTCTCGCTCTTGCTGAGGCTGGTCTCGAAGTCCTGACCTCAAGAGATCCTCCCACCTGGGCCTCCCAGAGGGCTAGGACTTCAGGCGTGAGCCACCAGGCCTCGATGACTATTTTAAAGACGGAGACGGTGGTACACAGAGGTTGAGTAACTTGCCCAAAGGCTCAGAGCCAATCAATGGCCGAGCTGGAGTCTGAACCCATGGAGCCCGGCTCCAAGGCAACCACCCTCCTGCGCACACATCCTGGATGCGTCCACCACCCTCTCTGGAGCCCCTCACCTCCATGGAGAAGCGACGCTGGTTCTGCCGTCGCCGGTACTGCATGCCAGGGGACGGCTGCCCGGGCTCCTCGCCGCTGTCTGTTGGGGAGAAGGTGCTGGGCTCCAGCGGGGGGTCTCTGCCAAGAGGACCGAGCTGCAGGTCTGAGAGGGACAGGCATCAGCTTCCCTCCCTGCCACTCTGCCCCAAGGGAGAGGTGGGCAGCCCACTTCCCCCTCATCCCCTCCCCTAAGGCCAGTGGGGACGGGGCCTGGGGGGATGTCAGGGTGGGAGAGGCCTGGGGCAGGCCCAGACCCCTCACCCTCGTTCCTCCGGTTGTGGAGCTGGTTGAACTGCTCTGTGAATTCAGCCAAGGACTCCTCGATGGTCTCGGTGCGGGGCACTGACAGGGAGAAACGGCGCTTGAAGTTCTTCATCTTGTTCATGATCGCCAGGGACCAGGGGGCTGGGTCCTGAGACGGGCGGGAGGTGTGACAACAGCGGGTGAGAAGCACAAGGCCACAGGTCACCGTCCATGCCCACTGCGAATTCAGCTCGTCTTCCCGTCGAGCTCTGTGGCCCTGCACGCCCCCCGGGGCCAGGGTTGTGTCTTCTCCAAAGTTCAAGCCCCCTGAGGGCAAGTCCTGCCACTCTTCTGCCCATTGACTCTCAGCGCCGACCCCCCTCCCCAAATTCCCTTCCCCGGGGAGATGGTCCCAATGGGTACCAACTAGTCCGGCAAAGTCCTCACCGTGATAGTGGGTACGATGTGCAAAGAGGTTCCTGGAGCCCCCCGCCCCGACATTAACTCTTTAGCTACTAGAGATGTAGAGAGTTCTGGGGGAAGGGCTGGGGTGGCAGGGTGGGGGTGGGGGACCAGAACCGGGTGGTCCTCGGACAAGCAGCCCTTTACCAACTCGTGTGCAAGAGCTTGAATGTGTCACCAGCCAGTAAGCCTTGCTGATCCAGCCCATACGCTGAACATCAGCTTGGCTGACACCCTTGGGACACAGTCCGGTCCCAACCCCATTTCACCCTGATACTGACACCTGAAGGTCCCCTTTCTGGTTTGGCCCAGGTCCCCAGAAGGCAGGAAAAGAGAAAAAGGATGAGAGAGGGGAAGTGTGCATAGGAACTAGCCTAGCCCCATTTCCTCTCCAGCTGAAATGTGGGAGGTCAGGAGCAGTGGAAGTTTCTCAGGGGAAGCATGGAAGTTTGCCAGAAAGAGACGGGCCCAGGGAAGGGGAGGCCTGAGCCCTGCGGCTCCTCCCGTGCAACAGCCCTCCAAGCAGGCAGGCAGGGTGTCCTCTGCCCGAGAACACCAAAGAGGAGAGGGCAGAGCTGCTCTGCTCATCGCCGGGCCCCTTCCCCAGACAGAAAAGGTTTTCTCCACCAGCAACTCTGCTCCTCTTCCTTCTGAACGAGAGGACACCCTGCTGGTCCCCTGCTGGTCCCCAGTGAGACCTGCGCCACTGCTTCTTCCCACAGACCCTCCCTTCTCCCTCCTGCCCCGAAAACACAGAGTGGGTCCTGCCCTCCCTCCACGTCCCTCCAGGCCTTCATAGGTGCTCTGTGCAGCCGCCCCCTCATCCTGCTCTGCCTACACTGCCCTTGGCTGCAGTGGGGGCTGGGACCAAGGGGCCTCTCAAGGGCCCCCACCCACACCCACCAAGAAGGCACCAGGGGCCAGCCCAGTAATGGGAGGGGGCCACCCTACACCCCCTCCCAGCTGTCACCCATGCACCAGGCACAGCGCACCCCTGGAGGATGCTCTCAGCCCTGCCACTGGCCAGCACCTAGTTGCCAAGGTAACCAGGCCCCTCCTGAATCCTCCCGATTTAAGGGATTATGGGTCAGTAACATGTTTGCTTTACTAAATGATCACATCCTTCCGTCCTTAGCCAGCCTGAAAAGGGTCGTCTCCCCAGCTCTGCATGGTCCAAGCTACCCCCAAATGCAGCTCGGCTGTGGCCCTCCAGCTCTCCCAAGCCCAGAGACTGCGTATAGCCAGGCCCTCCTTCATCCAGGTGGCATGTTTCAGAGCAGAGGCCTCAGTCTGCACTGCCGGCCGGGCCCTGAAGTCTCACTGAGTTCAGCTCAACAGACACGAATTGAGCACCTACTATGTGCCAGCGTTGTGCTAGGCACTGGGGCTATAGAGGTGAGTGTGGTCCCTGTTCTCAAGGAACTCAGGGGCTAGGGGCGCCTGTTCTGATAAGAAGGTAGCTGAGAGCACTATTCCAGCTCCCCTGGCATAGCCCACCGGCCTTGGTCTTTCCTGATTCTCCCTCCCCAAACTCATCCCCGCCAGCCAATCTCAGCCACTCCTTCGTGGCTGCTCTCACCCAGATTCTATAACCAAGGCTCTGAGGATGGTGCCTGGGAAAACTCATTTTTAAAAAGCAGCTCCAATGATCTGCACGTGGAGCCATGATCGGAGGCATCTGAGGTCCAGGTAAGGGATGTTTATCGGCCCAGGTTTCCGGATTGCCCTACTGTGCTGGCGTGGGGAACCCTTAGAGCCGGGGAGGGGGCTTCGCTTCTCCTGAGTGAAGCAGGAGACCCCCCACAGGAGGGGACAGTCTCTGCCCTGGAAACAGGAAGAGGCTCATGCGCACTGCACAAACCGCTGCCCAGGCCCTGGTCATGGTTAGCCTAGTGGGGGTGGGCGAGGCAGGCACTGGGCTCCTGGGGTTCGAGCTCTGCAGGAGGGACCAGCCACACCCCTTTCTAAAAACAGGGCTTCCCCATAAAACTGTCCTGCAGTCTGGGATTTATGGGATGGCATGTTGGGTTCCTGGCTCAGGAATCTATCAGTAGCTGCCATAAATCTCACACCCTTGCTCTTGCTTGTGGGGGAGGGGAGGGGAGCTCATTAAAAGCCTCTGGGAGGGAGGCCCCCAATTTCTGCAAATCAAAGGAGAACCAGCCCCAGTCACACCTGCTCTCTCCATGGTTTCCGGCATGGTTAGGAGCAAGGACCACCAGCTTCTACCTGGGGTGGGGTGACCAGCTTGTTCCTGGGGTGGGGTGGTGGGTGGGACGGGGAGCCAGAGAGAGGGTGAAACTAGGGGAGCAGACTTGAGCAGGAGTGTGGGGCCAAGTGACGCAGAGGGATGGGGACCAGCTGTGGTCCACCCGCAGGAGAAGAGACCCACAGGAAGTGGCTGTCACTGTAGCAGGAGGTTTGGAGGTCAGATGTAGGGATGGACTTCCTGATGGTGACAGAGGGGCAGGCGGCAGGGGGTGGTAACCACGGCAGAGAGTGGATGCCTCTCTGCTGGGGACAATCGGGGCATTGAACCCGGCAGGGTCTTGGGTGTGACAGGGCAGACCGGGCAGTGAATAGTCTGTTGTTCCCTAGGTCAAGACACAAGATGCCTCTGTCACTTTTCCCTTGGGAGAGTCAGCTCCTCAGATATGGGGGTAGAGGGGGAAGGGAGACAGGAAAGAGGCCTGTCACCTTGGTGCTGTCTGCCCCTCACCCCCAACCAGGGACAGAAGGGCTCAGTGTGACCCAGCCTGAGGCCAGCTCAGGGCCGGGCACAGTGCAGCCTTTGTCCCCAGGCCAGGGAGCCATCTGGGGCTGTCCCCGTGCAACTGGTGCCAGGGGAAGAGGGCAGTGGGCACCCAGGGATGCTGGCCTGGCAGGGGTCGGGTGGGGGCGGGTGAAGGAGCAGAGCTCCCCCGAGGAGCTGCAGGGGTGGGCAGGTGGACTCCCAGCCAGCCTTCCCTCCTGCCTCCCTGCCCAGGTAGGTCAGCAAAGCAATCAGCCTGCCTCCTGTCACTTCCTCCTGGGCACACACCAGCCAGCCCAGAACTTCCTCCTGGTGCCAGAGAAGCGGGTGCCACAGGAGGAGGAAGGAAGAGCCAGGCCGGGAGGAAACCCAGCACTTGCCAGAGGCCACTGTGCACCCAGCAGGGCAGGCGCTTCCGGAGCCTCCGCTCCATCCCTTGCTCAGGGAGGACGCGAGGCTCGGAGAGGGCAACTGACTGCTCAAATCACACAGCCATTTCCTGGTTGTTGCCAAGTGCACAAACTGTGACCACATCGCTCCTTTCGTCTCCCAACTGGAGCCCTCCCCACCCCTGCCCGCTCCCTGTGGCCTGGGCTCTAAGCGCTTTCTCCTCCAGGTGCCCCCACTCCCACTCTGAATTATAGTAAAAGCTGACCGACCCGGGTTCAAACCCTGATGCCCCACCAGCAGGCTGTGCGATTGCAGTGAAGTTATATAATCCCTCTCAGGCTGCGCCCTAATTCATTCAACGATTACTGAACACCTGCTACCTGCCAGGCACTGTGGCAGGCCCTGACAATCCACAGGTGAGGGAAGCAGATGTTAATTCCTGCCCTCGTGTGCTCTAACGGGGACAGGGGGCGCAGACAATAAACTCAATAAATAAATGAAACACGCAGTGTGGAAGACGGTGGCGAGTGCAATGACGGCAAGCAGGGAAGGGGGCGCTGTGAGGGGTGCTGTTGCAAGCTTAAGCGGGGCGGTCAGGAAAGGCTGGAGAAGCAGGGCAGTGAGAGCACAGCAGGTGCAAAGGTCCTGGGGCAGAAGTGAATCTGCTATGATCTAGGAATGGCAGCTGGCCCGAGAGGAGGCCAGACGGGACCACGGAGCAGCTGCGTTGGGCCTCATGGGCACAGGAGGGTTTGAGCAGATGAGTGACATGATCCCGCTGAGATTTTAATAGGCTGCTGTGTTGAGAACAGACTGGGTATGAGCGAGGGGAAGGCAGGGGGCCCAGCCAGGAGCCTGCGGCAGAGGTCCGGGGAGCGATGGTGGTGAAGAGTGGCTGGATTTGGGGTATATTTTGAAGGTGAGGCCAAAGGGATTTGCAGACGGATTGTTTTTCGGGGGTGAGAAAGGAGACAAGCATGACTCTGCAGGGTTTTGGACAAGCAGCTGGGAGAACAGAGCAGTCATTCAAGGAGATGAGGACTTCTGGGATTGGAGGTTTTGGTGGGAAGACCAGGAGTTGGGGCTTGGGCAGGTTAAGTTTTCGACGTCCGACAGCATCTGAGGGAGCCAGCACAGCAGAGTGCTGGTACGAGGAAGACGTCCGGTAAAGGTTGGCTCTCTCCTCTCGAGCTCCTGCTCAGACGAAAAATATTCCAGAAAAGAAGCCCCATATAAATTTCACCCAACATCCCTTCCAGACGCCCTTGCGGTAAGGAGTTTTGAGACCCCAGGATGGAAGCGGGCAGAGGGCTGGAGCATGGCCGCCCATCGGCAGTCCTGAACTACCAGACCGAGAAGGGGGAAGGCCAGGGAGGCGGGGTCCCCCTACCCAGACACTCTGCAGGGCCACGCAGGGTGGGGCTCGTGCAAGGCAGGGCAACCCGGTCTCCTGGTGGGCAGCTCTCACCCCCATCTTAGGAGAGGAAAAGCTCCACAGAGCAAGCCATGAGGGCTTCAGGGGCCCACTGCCCAGGCAGTATGGAAGCTCAGCCTACTGTCCCCAC